GGCCCCAGCCCCGGTGAAGCAGGTGGGCAAGCAGGTGAGCAAGCAAGTGAGAGTGCCCTTGGCCCGAGCACAGACTACTGGACTGTGGCGTCGGCAGACATGCTGGCTCATTCCTTTGGGAAGGAGAGAGGGAAATTGTGGAGTCTTTTCTTTTGGTGCTTTTCCTCTTGCAGTTGTACCTGTTGCCTTGTGAGGCTTTTTAATCCATCGACCAAAATTTCCTTTATTAAGTCAGGGATGTATTTCTATGTTTTAGAAGGAGTCTCATAAAAATGATTAAAAAATAATAACAGTTTGCTGCTTGAAAGTGCACCTTAGTTTCCTGAGACAGTTTCCCCACCACATTGTCTCCGTGGCCCGGTTGTTGTGGATGAATGAGGTAATAAATGCCAGACCCTCATAGAGGAGCTTCCGTATTTCAGTCATCATTTTGACCTGCTCCAGGAGGGAGAATTTTCACTTGACCCAGGAGGTGATGGCTGTCTTTTTAAACTGGTAGTTTTTACATTGAAGTAGGACTGTGCAGTGCATATTATGCAGCCGTCCTCCCCACAGGAGGAAACTGAGGCACAGGGTTTCAGTAACCTGCCCAAGGTCAAATCACCCATCATCAGCTTGTTGGGGATGGGCTTGCGGCTCCATCCCTCCTGGTTGGCAGGGCCTGGGCCAGGGTGGGCCACAGGCTCGGAGGGAGACCCAGGGATATTCTGGTGTGTCGGGGTGGTGTGAGTATAGCGTGACTTCCGTGACGACAGGGACATTTCTGTGTGGCAGGCACTGTTCTAAGTGGCTTATGCACTTGTTTACTTGTATGTGTATTTACTTCTCAAAACAGCCCAAAGAGGTAGGTGTAAATGTTATCTGTCTGTAGTTGGGAAACTGAGGCCTAGTTCTAAGTTGGTGGAACTTGGGTGGGATCCAGTGTAAATGGTGGGGCTGGTGCGACCCAGTGTGAGTAAGTGATGAACCTGGGGTGTCTAGTCAGTGTGAGTATTAGATTTGGGGTGTCCTCACCTCAGGATCTGGAGCCTCTGGTTTTCACTGGCCCCTTGATGTTCTTTCCTTTCAACAAGAGTGTTTCCAAAGTCCCTTTGCCTTTCCTGCTGGAATTACTCCCTTCTACTCGCTGTACTTTTCCACGTCCGTCGTCCTGCAGGGTGATGTGCCCTGTTCCCTGCAAACCCTCCTGTCCCTCGAGAGGCCAGGGCGGGTGCACTGTTAAGAAGAGGTTTCTTCTGATGCTCTCCAGCTGCCGAGCGCTGCCCCCCACCCTCCGACCTCACCCTCCAGAGCAGGCTTCATTGTCCCACCATCAACAGAGAGAGAGGTGAGGGCCCCGTCTGGAGCCAGAGCTGGCCAGGCCGCGGCACTTTGTCACATGCCTGAAGTGCATCTGGGATGTCTGCCTCCCTGGTGACCTTCTGCTTCAAGTAAGGGTCTAGACAAGCTGTCTGTGGATTGGTCCCCGAGGTTGTTTACAAAGTTACTCATCCTAAAATAAGACCATGGAAGTATTATCTGGCACTCACAGCGGCTGGCGAGCCCGCGGGCCTCCACCCCCACGGACAGTCCAACGCTGTGAGCGGAATCAGGAAACCCAGGAATTTCGCCTGCTGTTTTTCTTGGGATTGGTGTTAGTTGCCCATGAGAACATTGTGCTGGTGTCTGTGTTTCTGCCGTGCAAATTCCTCCAGCCCCTGGGGACCGGTAGGCGCAGGAACACGCAGAAAGTAGTGTTCTTCGCTGCTTTTAGTCGGCTCAGAGGAATGGATGAGTCCCCTCCGCACCAATCTTATGAAAAGCATGTGTCCTTGGTGCTGCAGGGGGTGGTAGCCTGGCCAGGTGGTGTCGGGATCCTGCCTAGCCTAGGACCACGGTAGGCGGAGCTGCTGCTGATGGGCAGGCCCCTTCCTTGCCACGTGCCTGAGGGAAAGAGAAGTCAGATGTCCTTTCTCTTTTCACACGAAGGCAGGGGAAGCCACTGGTCACACTCTCTAGGGCGCAGCCTACAGGCCACGTGTGATGCCAGAGGACTCCGGGTGTACTGTGGCCCCAGGAAAGGCCACCAGTGGCGGGGAAGTGACGGACTGGCCAGACCCTGCAGCCCTGCCCCCACCCCACTGCTAGATTTGGGCTTCCTCCCAGGGCAGGTCAGGGACTGTGTGTGTCATGTGCTCTTGGGCTGTGTCTGGCTGCAGGAAACCGAAGGCCTGATAGGCTCCTGGAGTGAGGAAGTGCACTTCTCTGTGTCTGAGGACCAGGGCAGGAGACCGTGGCCATGGCCAGCCTGGCTCCGGGTTCTGGAACCCAAGTCCTCTCCAACTGGAGGCTGGACACAGGCTGCTCACCTGGGACACCATATCACACACGAGTCTTGGGCCAGGCCCCGCAGACATTAAGTGGTAGAGAGGGAAACTGAGGCTTTGTGTGGAGTGGGCTCACCCAGCAGGGCATGGAGTCAGGTCATGGTGCCCAGTGGCAGGGACAGTCACCTTTGGAGAAAGCAGAAGCCACAAGTGAGCGGGCAAGCTGCCTGGTGACCAGGAGGAAGGAGGGCCACGGAGAGAGGGTGGTACGAAAAGTATAGTGATTCCAAATTTCTGAATTCAGGGCACACTGGGAAAACTCATGGGTACTCAAGCGGCATGGTCGGGCGGGTCTTCCAGCCAGTGAAGGTTTCATCAGCCGCCCGGTGACTTGTTACAGCAGGTTTTTCCATTTGTTATGTAAACACAATTAGTCACATATTTTAACCCCATTATTAATAGGGCATAAATATTGTCTTCGCTCCAAATCAGCTCTTCTCTCTTTGCTTAATTTTAAAAATTAATTTTCTGGAAGTGAGTTAATTGCCTCGCATAAGGTTTTGACATGCATTTATTAACGAGCAAAGTTGGGTCTCCTGAGGCTTTGAGAAGATTTAATGAACGAGCCTCGACGTCAGACCATCTTTGGCGAGAAAAGCTACCCGTGGCTGCCAAGTGCAGGTTAATTCCCGCGGGTGCTGGTGTGGAGACGGTGCCGCCTGCTCACCGCCTGGGCCGGAGCTCCGTGGGGCCCATCCTGTAGCCAGACTGTCTTCTTGTCATCTGTGTCCACCCTGCAGCCCTCACCCCACAGGAGCCCAGCCTTGATTCTTAGCCCCTGTGGAGTGCACCCACCCACCTTCTTTGGTGCCTCAGGATCAGAACACATTAGAACCAGGGATTCGGTGAAGCTTAACCTGAGTGCAGGGGACCCCGAGGGGCACCAAGCAGGCGAGTGTCCCCCCTACCCCCACGTTTTAGACTCTCAGGAGAGTCATAGGGTCTTGTCTGGACAGGAGCCTGGAGAGCAGTGCTTGGGCTCCCAGTGGGCCAGAGGAAAAGCTGCTGTCCCGTGATGGTCATTTATGGCCATACCAGAGCAAGGGTCAGCCTGAGACACACATGAGCACGTCCCTGTGGTTTTAGAATATAAAGCGCTCTTTACTCTGCACCCCCCAACTGGCCCCCTTTCTTGCCTTCCTCCCACTGCCTGTTTTCTATGAGTGATGGATGGGTGGACAGCTGCCACCTCCTCACCACCCCCAACGCCCCACCCCTGGAGGGGCCCGGAGTCCACAGGCCAAGGGGATGACTCAGGCGGGGTGTGCTATGTCCCCTCCCAGGGGCCCCTCAGCCCCCATCGCCACCCTCTTCTCTCCGCCCAGCCCTTGCTGAGCCCTGTCTCTCTGCTCCCCATGCCTCCCTCCACACCCGAGGCTCTGGCCCTGCACACGTGGCCCTGCTGGGAGCAGCTGCTGCAGCTCCAGCATGGACTCTGCCTCCTCCCCCACCCTTTGAGAGGGCCCACTGTCTTCCTCTCCTGGAACTTGGAGGGAGGGCTCTCTCTTAAATTCTGCCTCTAT